CAGTTCCGCCGATTGGCTCGCTAGGCGCTAGGCGAGCTCACCTCTCATTGGTCACTATTTTTCGTTAATAACTCGTAAACAAAGCCACGAATTGCATTTTCGCTAAGGAAAAAGTTACTTCAAATGACTTCAGGAATTTCCCATTTCCGGATTGCGAGATATTTCTGGGACACTCTGTATGAAATGTTCGAGTGTAACGAGTGTGCTTGTGTACGTATCTATAGGTTGATGTACGTTGGTGTCGATGATAAAGTGTAGGGATGGCGGTGCTATGAAGAGACGACTAGCTTGAAGAAATGTCTTCCCCTATGTTGCGTGAGGTGCACATAAAGTGCAGCTATTTAGGTCGTTTGACCACGTTTGATACGGTTCGAGCGGTCGATGTCGTTGCGACCTATAGCTATCTGCGTGATCAAACTAAAGTAATGAAACAGTTTGATTAACCACACTAACTGATCATCCGTCCCATCTATTGAGGTCGCAACACTTTCTTTCCAATTACCAAGGGTCTCGAAAACGAGTTTTAACAATCGATAACAAACTTACCGTAGCTTAAGGTGATGGAGTCGGTTATCGTCGAGTGACCAATTGCTGTGCCTTCGGTTTATTTACGAGCACAATCAACTTTATATTCATCGAATAAGACATATTAAATTTTTATATTCTTCTATATTGTTTATTTTTCAATAAAAAAAAGTACTTAGTACGTTTTATACGATAAATACAAAATTAATTATGCCCATAAACGAACCGATGCAACTGATCGCCCCACAGTAATTAGCTCCTCTAGATATCAAATATCTAAGAATCCATGGTTACATTGTCATGAATCTTCGTCTTATACGATGAATACAAAATTAATTATATCTGTAAACGAACCAAAGGTGCAGCAACTGATCGCCGCACGGTAACTAGCACCTCTGGATCAAATATCTAAGAGTCCACGGTTACGGTGTCATGAATCTTCATCGTCTTATACGATAAATACAAAATTAATGATGTCCATAAACGTACCAAAGGTGCAGCAACTGATCGCCCCACGGTAACTAGCACCTCTAGATCAAATATCTAAGAGTCCACGGTTGCATTATCATGAATCTCCATTGAGATCGACAGGTCTTTCATAGATCTCTTACAGGCCTTTCAGATCGGTGGTTCCGCGGATCCGGGCCAGTGTGCGACAGCCGGTGCAAAAGAAATCGGTCAGCGCAGAAAGCAAATGGGGGAAAGTAAATTTCGATCGACCCCCGATCCTTGGAGCGGTAGGCACCGCCTGTCGGGATCCCGGCGCGGCGGTTTTAGTGGGCCACGCTATCGAGCGTTCTCGCGCGGCTGCAGAATTTCCTTTAATGAAAGCGACGATGGTGATCCGCGCCAGTTTATTTCCCCCCATGAAAGCGTCGACTGCCTCGACTTACCAGCGAGCTCCCGATTGTCCAGCTCCGGCAATTAATGGCCGTAGGTCCTCGACGAGCTCCGGGCAATAAGAGGAAATAAAAACGCAATGAAAGCGTTTTATTGGCTATCATTGGCCGGCTGCTGGATGCCCGTCGCGTTCCCGTTCCCGTTCCCATTTCTGCTCGCGAAAACGGCTCCCATTGTTCCACGGCGGAGAGCGATCGCTCGAAAACTTCGATGAGGAACGGAGCCGACTTGCGATCCAGACTGGTAGCCGTCTGCGAGCTGGCTGGCTCGGTTAATTTCAACCGGTTAACGCTCGCTGAATGGCGCGACAAGTGATAATCGATCAGTCGGAGCCCGTTTATGTACCTGTCGGAACGCGTGATCCATCGTTCGACAACAAATCCGAGTCAATATTAGAATCGCCACGCCGACGGGCCTCTCTGGTTTGTTCGGCTCATTAGAAGCGACAGGACACGAGGTCCCGCGGCGATGATTCCTCGCGTCCGTGATCCTACAACTTGATTATCTTCGACATCGTATTTCCTCCCGTTGGACACCGCCGCGTTCATATCTGATCCGACGACACGTGACAGTGTTTAACGAGTAGTCGAACGCGGCGCGCATCGGCGAGCACCGACACCACCGTCTACGTGATCCTATGTATCATACCAGACGAGCGTTATCATTATTATTTTTAGCCGACCGAGGCTGCTCGCTGAACGGTATTGAACCCTGGATTATTCTTTAGCCGCAAGGTTTAGTCCGGACGTGGGGCGCACCGTGTACACGCGCGCGCGTTCATTGATTCCGCCTTTTATTAGGCTACAGTCTGCGATAGTCTGCGATAGTCTGCGATAGTCTGCTGCGAGACGTTAGCTCCACGGCTTATGAACCTTCCCCTATTCCATCATCGTTGATTCCCCTAGTCTGCCTCTATTACTTCCTATGTCCTCTGGACGAGTGCAATTTGGCGTAGAGAGGGCTGGTTCTTGCTAGGGTTGCCGACTTGCCAGAGAGAATATTCACTGCCCTGCACAAGTATTTCGACGCTGGCTAAGATGCTATTAGAAGTTTTGTAATCTTTATTTCATTTATACAGGAAATTCTCCCTAATCTCCCTAATTCTCGGATTGGGCATAAAAATGGACAGTTTGGAAAGAGCAGAGCCTTGCGACTCGTTTTTATGGTTGTTGATAATCAGTAACTATATACACGAGTCGCAAGGTTCGAATAATCGTATCTTCTGTACAGCCTGAACGTCAATTAAGAATTTACTGTATGCAGATCCGAGTAACGCAGAGGTCGGAACATTAATAAAAAACAGTGGACCACTTTTGGACCACACATGGATCACTTTTGTAATGATCGAACTTTAAGCGTCACTGCAAAATCAATTTTACACCGATTTTAATTAATGTTTTCTCTTTCCAACAAATCTACATGCAATGTTAAGAATTGTTTGGCGTTTATAGGTATCATATGACGGTCTAAGAAGAAATCTTGAATCAGATTTATAATAGAAGGTTGTATTAATATAACTCACATTTTGAAAATAACGTGCAAATGTCCAAATATCGATTTTACACCGATTTTAACTAATGTTTCTTTCCTTCCAACACACCTGCATACAATATTAAGAATTGATTAATGTTTACAGGCATTATATAACGGTCTAAGATGACATCTTGAATCAGATTTATAATAGAGGGTTATACTAATAATAGTAACTCATATTTTAAAAATAACGTGCAAGTGTCCAAATATCAATTTTACACTGATTTTAATTAATGTTTTTTTTCCTTTCAACACATCTAAGTACAATGTTAAGAATTGTTTGATGTTTACAAGTATTATGTGACGGTCTAAAAAGAAATCTTGAATCAGATTTATAATAGATGGTTGTACTAATATAACTCAAATTTTGACAATAACGTGCAAGTGTCCAAATACTTCTGCTGGGCAGTATATCAACGGACCTTGGAACGTTCCTATGTCCACGAACGAAATTTCTATAGCGTTCAATAAGTTCGAAGTGTGCGTAGGCAAAACTGGGTTAGACTACCAAATTTCAGCTAGATATTGGAACTCAGGTTATTAGAACCTGGGTTTGGTTGTTACAGATGAGGCCTCGAAACTTTAAGGGCAGTCTTCTCAAACTTGGAATCGGATCGTTGACCCCAGAAATGGGGAAACGTTTGATGATTGGAAACGTAACAATATTTCGCGTTGTTTGGGCAATTGTTCGTTAACAATACTGTTTACAGAATATTATGGGCTCGGGTCAATAAATTGTTGCCTCAATTCTGTCTTCCGTTTGAACTCGTTGCCGCGTGTAATTTTTATATGTTAATGTTAACTAATGTTAATGTTAACTAATTAAAATTCGTAATAATTTTAACGCTTTGTCCACTGAAAGTCTATCAACCCTTCACTCCGATATCGCCGATTTAATAATTTAGCGACACTAAATTATTATGTTTTAAGGTTATCATGTCAAATATATAAATAATAACACAAAATCTTTTATGTATTAATTCCTATAAAATTTCATATCAGTATAATGATTGCTCTTTCAATTCAGCTTCGTATAACAGAATCACAATTTTAGCAAAAATTGCTGCGAGGCAATAATTTTCAATTATTGTGCTATAGTAAGAAGAATTTAAAAATTCTTATTTCTGTATGATAATCCGAAACGAATGGAGATTATTTAGTGGTATGCAACAGAAATTGTTATACCCATCGAACAATTGATTACGAAGTCCTTAGCTGCAAATTCTACAAATTCTTCTCAATAATTATGAGATTGTCGCCAATAAATAATGTGTTAATAAGTTGAAAATTATGCAACAATATTTTTAAATTCCTGAACTGTTTCCCCGTTTTGTATTTGATCGACTCATTTCTGTGATAAATTTATAAAATTTGCAGTCTAATCATTATTATTCCAGTGCAGGAAAAATCTCAAAGTCTTTTCTACTACGAAATTGAGTCGTATTTCGGTTTCTTATATTAAGCTGTTCGAAAATTTGTTTCTTGAAAAAAAATTTGATTAAATATTTTATCAACAAAGAGCTGAACTTCTACGAGCATGGGATTTCACATTTACCAGAAAGATGACAAAGTGGCCAATACATAATTCAGTAAAATGTATAGACAACTAAATATTATCGTCTTGTATTTTTCGTTGAGAGAACGATATTACGGTAATAAAAAACGAAATATGCGCAAATAAGCCTTGAAATGTCACCTACCAAAATATAATAATGACTTAGACAGTGGATTTGACATATTTATGGCAAAAATGAGCGGATGAAATATAAAATTGCGAAGGCACAAGAATAATTTAACGATATTGTCACACGTTACCTTCAAGTTAACAAACTTACCAGACAATTAATTCTTATTTAATCTCTGTGTCCTTGCAATTGATGTAGAAATTTTTATTTTTCATATAGGTCCGCGTTCTAATAATGGCAACACGGTTTCGAATGACATTGATCGATTAAAAGACTGGCGAAGTTGATCGGCGAAAAGAAAAAAATCGAGATTACATTGGTAACAAGCCAATGAACGAGCGTGTTTTTTGGTTGCAGGCTTGTCAGCATGATATGATAGCAGGGCCCGAAGCAATCTCCCCTGAAAGATGAAGAATCCTCACGTGCTCGCGTGCTTCCTACTGCTGGTGCCCCTGTCGCTCGGCTTGACCCCGCAGGAGGACGACCTGGTGTTCGATGACGTCGGCGATGAGAGCACCAGCACAGCAGCCACGGTGATCAACAGCCGGCGCTTCGACGATCCGAGAACGAGCTGGCACGAGCAGAACCGGCCGCGAGACATCAAGAGGCACCAGGTCGAGAGGCTCTGGGGCGTTCCCGATGTCGTCGTGCCCGTCGGCCACGTGCTCAAGCTGAGGATCCCGCGGCAGGCGTTCACCGGGCCCGTAGATTATTACGAGGTGAGAATCCGCGGATTGCTATCCTCTCTATCTCTCTATCTCCCTTCATCTTCTTCTACGCTGCGACTCGTAACTCTAAAATCTCAGCCTTATCAGTTTTAACTCTTTTAGCGCAGAACGAAAATATCGCACCTATGCGAAAAATACCGGACCGATTTGTCGAATTTGCTAAGGTTTGGGGAGAAAGCTTATAAAAACCAAAGTATAAGAATGATATTTACAAAGTTCAAGAAGAAGCATATTACAAAATAATGGGAGAATAAAATAACGTCAATTGTATTTAATTGTTTGTTGAAAATCATACGAATAACATAAATATAGAACATTATGAAAAAGAGGAAAATCAATTCTCTTTGTTAGAGACAGTATTTATAGTATTATATACTGGTATGGAGTATAGGTATTGCACTTTCAATCATTTGTAACAAAACAAGTGAATTGGTATAGCTAGTATAACATTACCGAAAAAATGTTAGTATTATTATAAATATTTATATTTAGTTATCTGGCTGTTGAAAATGTGTAATATTTACTTATTATTTCTCGCACAAATAATTTATTTAGCATTGATGCTTACTAATACATACACTAATGCATCCTGAATAGTTGGGCGCTATATGAGCCGCTTATTTTGAAAGTGGCCTAACTCCATTTATCTTCAAATCGAGATATTTAAAGTTTTGCGTTTCAATGAATTTAAAAATATACGTATAGGATACTAATGAGTCATACTGCTTAAGCGTATCTAAGGATGTTAAATTTAAAGTTCCTGTTAAAATAGTGGCAATTATTAAGTAAATAACGTGCGTTTTCTTATCAAGAATGGAGTTGGGCCACTTTCAAAATTAACAGCCAGATTCATTATAAAATTTGAAGGTGCCCAAGTCCATTCAACATAATTTAAGATGTTTCAAATTGAAAAAAACAATACTGAATTTGTTTTACATATCTTGAAAACACTTCGGAAACATAATTTATGCGATTTAAAACATTTTTTAATTACAGAACATAGAAAATTACAAACATAAATTTATTACAAAACAATTTACTATTCGTCTACATTGATGATCCAACCATCCTCCCACGCATATCATTGCCCACATTTGCAGAGTTTAGTACTCGTTTTAAGCGTCCTTCGCTTACTTTAAAAGTATCCAAAAAGAATTTTTTACAGACGGGAATTTTTCTGTTTTTAGAACGTAACAAATATCTAAAACTAAAATTTCTTGGTGAACCTTTTCCGTTTGTTGGACGTCTTCGTTCCACAATTTTGCGCTCGACAGCTTCGTGAAGTAATACATTTTGTTTGTTAAAATCTGCCAAACCCCAAAACTTCTCAAAAATATTCTTTCTTTCTTCCTCATTGTAATTCTTTGTGCAAGCATTCCGACAACCACAATCTTTGTTTTCGAAAACTTTTTCAGGAACAATATTTCCGGTTTCAGTGCAATATCTTTTTCTTGAATTCCGTTTAATCTTTCGCACTTTTTGGATGTATGATGCATCAATTTTTTCTCCATTGTTATTCGGATCTTCATCCTCTGAAGACGAATATTGTACTATAATTCTGTTTATTTTCGATTTTTTTTTAAATTATCAGTTACTATTTCTTCTTCACTATCTGAACTAATGAATGGTCTTGTTCTGTTTTTCCTCATGGGTGAAATAATTTCTAAAATTTAATATTAAATTTTAAGTTTTATATTAATTAAACGTACAGGTTATTCA